CAGGAGGATGCAGGTTTCCCCGAGCAGAGCAGCTGCACGGCTGCCAAGTGTCAAAATGTTCCTGCGCCGGGGGATCTGGTTGCACAAATGCTCTGCATGCATCGCTCAAAGCAACCCAATCAACAGCTCCAACAGTTTTAATTCAAAACGTGCCCTTGGAATTAAGAGGGAAACGAATCATTTTTCAAACCAGGAACTCGAGCCTTTTCGGCCAGGAGGCCAAGTTGGACCGGCAAGGAGGTTGTCTGCTTCGCCACGCAGAACACCACGTCCTCGGCCCTCGCAAACGGCCGGTTGCTGCTCCCACAGCACCCCCTACTGGCAAGAGGCCCGGGAGAAGCCGCCCACTCCACCTGGGCAGGCCTCCTGGAGGCAAAGCCCCAAGAAAAGCTGGGGCAGGCTCCAGGGAAAGGGAACACTTTGTCCTTCCCCGGGATGGGGGGAGGGCGGGGGCAGGGGGGGCCAGAGGGACCTCCACCACCACCACCGCGGGAAAAGCCAAGTCCAAGGGCGGGTCTGACCCTCCCTCCCTCCGACACTCTTGCAGCCTCTCCGACAGCCTCTCACAGACGCTCTCCGAAGATGGAGCCTCCCTGGAGCCGGCGGAAGCTCGCTTGTCCGGCCAACGGTCCTGATCCGAGCGGATGCTGCTCTCCCAGTAACGAGAGCTGCACTTTGTTTTCTAGCTGGGCCAAAACGTTTTAGCAGCCAGACGCTTTGCACTGCCTTTTTCTAAACAGGAAACGGGCTGGGTTCCATCCCTTATTTCGTTTATTTAAACAATCGATCGGCCACCTTTCCCTCTATAGGGTAACCAAGGCAGCACACAACAAGCTGAGTGTGCCTCAGATAAATGTACAATAGCAATAATATTGATTCCTGTCAAGAAAGCTCCAGACGGACTCCTTGGCAGAAAAACACACACACACACACACACACACACACACACACACACACACACACACCCCTCTGCTGAGGCTGTATACACTCATTTAAATCTTTTCACAATGGATCGCACTACCTGACAGAACGGAGAGGCAAACCTTGAACAAGGCGGGCCGTCCTGTCCTTGTTCTTTTTAAGACCGACACTACCCCAGCCTGGGCTGAATCCGGACGCCTGAGGCCATCGCAAGTGACTCCTGGCCAGCCTCCTTTGTACCGACGGCTGCCGAGAGTGAAGAACGGTTGGGCTGTTTAGCTGGGGTTGCTCTTTGGATCTTCTTTCTGACCCTTTCTTAGTGGTGACCGTTGAAACACAGATGCTGTCCTACCGGCTGCACACTATCTTAAGAAGCCTTTGCGATTTGAAAGGCAGCAAAGACATCCTTAAAATCAACGCATCAGTTGCACAAACCCTTTACAGAGACACTGAGGGATCTTGGCTTCGTACACATGTAGCCGAGAGGGCGGGATTCCTCCCTCCCCGTATTCTATGGGTTCTTTTGTCGCAAATTCACCGGGGGGGGGGCGCAGGAGCAAGGACGGTCATGCAGCCAGGCACAGCAAGACCCTCCGACCACAAGTGACCTGAGGGCCTTTCATCTGCCTTGCGTCTGAACATGCTACATGCCTTTGTGCAGGAAATGAAGCTGGGACACCCCAGAGAAACACAGAGGCCCTCCTCAACACTAACGCACACCCCACCCCGAGTCAAACAATGTGCAAAGATCTCTTGAAATTGAACCATCTCTTGCCTTGGCAGAAAACACGGTTCCATCCTGAAAGATCCTCACAGCAGGACAGACCCACTAAGTTAAAACATCATCTGTTCCCCTTCATTCTAAGCACTTCTGCCTGCCTCTTAGGCGTACAGCTTTTGCAATGTTGAGCTAGCTAGCTTTAAAACTGAAGTCTGTGTGTCGGGGGGGAGGCGGAATTATGATGAAGAGAAGTGTTGAGACTTGGAATGAACCCACCTGC